AAAGAAAGAAAGAAAGAAAGAAAGAAAGAAAGAAAGAAAGAAAGAAAGAGAACTGAGCTCGGTTGAGCAGGGAACCCATGGGTCAGTATAGTCCCAGGGATCTAATGGTTGTCTCTTGGGCTGGGTAACAGCTAGACAGAACTTCCATCTCTGAATCAGAGCAGGCTTTTTGGGGGCAGGAAGGAAGAAGAAGTTCCTGGGGATGAACCCAAGGCCTTGTGCATGCTAAACAAGCACTTTACCACTCAACTATGGCCAGTTGAAGAGCATAATTCTTTTCTTTTGGTGGGTGGTACTGTGGTTGGAACTCAGGAACCTCGGGAGCTCATATCTTCAGCTCAAGAGCATGATTCTTTTTTCTTTTCTTTTTATCCCCTGGTCCAGGGACTTGAACGGAGAGTCTGAGCCTCTTTGTGCTCAAGGCTAGCATTCTCTCACTTGAGCCACAGCGCCACTTCCAGCTTGTTTGAGTACGTTATTGGAGAGAAGAGTCTCATGGGGACTTTTCTGCCCTGGCTGGCTTCGAACCACAATCCTCAGATCTCAGCCTGCTTGAGTAGCTAAGGATGACAGGCGTGAGCCCCCAGCACACAGCTCAGAGCATGATTCTTAAAAGATACCCTCTATAATTTACCAAAGTGGACACTCAACCCAGAAAACCTATGGCTCTTGTCTCTTCTGGCATATATATCCCTCTTCTCCACTTGCCTCAGATCTGAGATCTGAGAGTGCTCTCTCTCTCTGTCTCTGTCTATCTGTCTGTCTGTCTCTCCTTCCTCCCTCCCCGTCTCTGTCTCAGGGTCAGGTTGGGCACATCCCTTGGCTAGTGTTCTACCACTTGGTGCCATGCCTCCAACTTCTGGCTTTCTGCGGGTTCACGGGTTGAAGGGTCTTACCGTACTTTCCTGCTCTGGCTGGTCTCACACCTGGATCCTCAGACCTCAGCCTCCAGAGTAGCTAGGATTACTATAGACGTGAGCCAGCAGCAAGCACCCAGCTCAGATTTTCTCTGCACCCAGCACACCCCCACCCCGTCCCGCCCCGGCCTGGTCCTTGAACTGGTCCCCAGCCGTGGGGTTCTGCTCCCCATCCCCCGGACTGCCTTGACCTTACAACCTCAGAGTCGCTTGGCCGGGGTCACGCCTGACCGATGGCGGGGGACTTGTGGCCAGAGGACAGTCCTGAGCCTCCCGCCATCAAGCCTGCACCCCTCGGAGCCCCGGTTCCCAGACGATCGGCCGCGGAGCTTGCGGACGGCCGGCCCGGCCCTGCCCGCGGTGGGCAATAAGTAACCAGCTCGGCGGCCGGGGCTCGCGCTCTCCGGTGCTCTTTGGACGGAGCGGGACAAAAGGCCCTGTGTACGCCGCGGGTTACTGATTTACCGCCCCCCCGTCCCCCCTCCCGATTCGCGCCGCTCGGACGCCCGCGTCCCCGGGG